GTTTTTGTTTTCCTAGATTTACTTTCTCCCGGAGTAAAAAGCAAGATTTTCAAAGGCCAAAGGACCTACCGGCTCTTTGCAGGTAAGTGTCTCCGGTGGGTGTGGTGTGCGCTCTTGTTCTTCCTTAGCACCCGAGGCGATAAGTCCCCATAGTCTGTGAATGACCCCTGCACTAGACTTGTGCGCCGTCAAAAAATCTGTTCCGTTTCGCAATATCTGTTATTTCGTAATTCGTGTGCGAAACTCCATTCGGATTGGTACGAAATACGCATTCTCGTTAGTTTCGGCGCGTTTCCGTAACTTTACGAACATTCGTTACGTTGAAGTTAAAAAGCAAAAATACCTTTTGTTAATATATTGGAGTCGATGTGGTAGTTGTTTTTGTATCCGAAATACGAATTCCGTTAACGGATTCCGGATCCGAATTTCGTATTTCGGACTTTAACCCCTTAGTGACTGACGACGTGCAGTGTACGTCGCCAGCATCGGGGCTGTTTAAACTTGTAGAGCCGACTGTCGGCTCTACAACAGAAGCGATCCCGGCGACTTACCTGTCGCCCGATTTTACGGATGCGCGCAATTTGTAACCTGGGCATGTTGGGTATCGTTTTACTCGTTGTAACCTCATCTTTTATATTTCATTAAAAAAATGGGTATTTTGTTGTGTTTTGGGGCATTTAATTAAATTTTTCACTAAATATTGGGGTTTAATAAGGAGTTGCGTTAATATTGCGCAACATAAAAATTTGCAACTACCACCATTTTATTCTATAGGGTCTCGGCATTCAGAAAATATATAATGTTGGGGGGTTTTAAGTAATTTTCAGGCCTAAAATGTGGAATCTAACATGGGTACAAAAGATGGAAAAAAAAGGCCTCAGTCATGAAGGGGTTAAAAAAAACCTACCATCAACTCCAATATAAATGTACTTTGCTTTTTACCTTCAATATAACGAATGTTGGTAACGTAACGAAAATACGTCAACGGAATTTCGTATTTCCTGCCTGTGTATTGTAATGCGACTCAGCAGCAGCCGATCCGTATTTACGAAGTTCAGGAAAATTCGGACGAATTTCGATTCGTAACGAAACGAATCACATGTCTACTCTGCACTATAGCCTGCATCCCTATGAAGAGCCCCTGTACATGTATATTTCATAGGAACGTTTAGGGGCTGTTCGGTGTTCTGTCTCCTTATCTGGAAGCCGCTGTGCCGGGGGCAGGCTGGTTAATCGGGGGCAGGCGATGCCATTTCGGTGTCCCCTCCCGGAGAATTCAGCCCCCCGGTACGGATGGTTTCGGATAAGGGTTTGTACCCCGCGCAGCCCTCCGCTCTCTTATGGCCGTTGACTCGAGGACAGAAACGCATAGAACTGCTCTATAGCAGGGGGGTAGCAAACCTCCGGCCCTTCAGCTGCGGGGTGGAACTACAAATCCCATGAGGCATTGCAAGATTCTCACAGACGTCACTCCCGGAGAGAGATGCATCATGGGATTTGTAGTTTCACCCCCACAGCTGGAGGGCCGGAAGTTTGATA